TTCTTGTGTCAAATGCATAGCATTTTTTTCTCATTAAAAATGTACCTTTGCAAAAATGACTTTGTTGGGGGAGATGGATATAAGCTGATAATTACATAGTATCATTGTCCTAACTTGATACAGAAACAGCAAACAAGTATATGCTGATCATGGATTCTAAGCCCTCAGTGACCATGATGTTTCAGAAATACACATGTGATTAGGCTGCAGGAATTAGTTTGTTGCTAAATTTCAGCCTGTTAACTGTTCGAAACTATTCTCTTTTATTTCTAATATTAATGTAAGAACTGTCCAAAAAGCATACTTACTGTACTTCTGTTTTATAAAGTATTAGAGATCTTACACTAATGCTTTTGTTGATCAGTTTTGATGAAGTCTTTGAGAGTACTTTTCTTGAAAAAATGAAGCATGTTCAGGGTGTCCTGGTTTTCTTCTCACCCTGACCCAGCCCACCAGCAGCTCCTATGACTTGTGCTCCTGAGTCGTATCTTGTATCCTCTGCTTCTCTTCCTGGACGCTGCCCCACCTCGGGCTGGTGGCCCCCATTGCCCTCCAGGATAGCGACGGTAGCCTCCTCACTGGCTGTGGGCTTTCACTGTGACCCTCTCCGCTGCGTTCTTCATGTGGCACGACTGACCTGGAAACCTACCCAGCACCAGCTCACGCTCCAGTAGCTTCCCTTCGTGCTTGACCTCAAATTGGAACTCCCTGTACTGTCCTTCAAGGCCTGAGGTGTCTGCCCCGCCTGTCCTTGCAGACCCTCCCAGGGCCTTACTGCAGGCTGCTACCTGGTTGTGGACTATAGCTTCTTCCCCAGCCCTGCGCTGCAGTGATCTGCTCCCCAGCCTCCAGGTCTCTACTTAAATGCCATCTCCTCGTGGAGTCTTGCTGGCAGTTTTCTTTGTCTTCCTTTTCTGTCCTTAGTAGCATTCATTACCAGTTGTAATTATTTTATCTGATTGCTTTTTTGGTCTCTGTTCAGTAAAATGTAAGCTCCGTGCTTTTTTGGTCTCTGTTCACTAAAATGTAAGCTCCGTGGGGCAAGGACCATGTTTGGCTTGTTTGCTACTTTGTCATCAGTGTTACCAGTAGTATTTAGTAAGCATTCAACAAATAATGTATTGAACGGGGTCGGGGCGGGGGTCAGAGGCAAGCTGGCAAGGTGGCACTGCCCAGAGCTTGGTCGCCTAGGACGAAGTTGGAGGATCATTCTGAGGGCCATTTTTTCATCCTGAAGATTACAAGGTTTCTGTGTCTTTGATGGGCATAGTTTGCCTTCTGCTTATTCAGCTGATCTGAATCATGTTGATAATGTGACTGTGTGATCATTCACCTGTATGCTAAGGTTTCTACTCCAAAGACTGGAGTACTGCCTTAATTTAAAAGTATTATTCATCTGCATGAACATCGGTGAATTTTTTTGAAACACTGCCTTAATTTCTGTCACATAGTTGTGTGAGTCATCAGAATTTGTGATTGCATTGAGGTGAGGCCATTCCAGACAGTGTGCCATGTGAACTGCCAAGGCTCTGAGTGGCCTGTTAAGGCGGGAATATTCATTGATGTGTTCCCTCTGGTACCTTATTGAGCAGGATCATCTGATTATCAACTTTTGACATTGAAAATGTCTGATAAAGAGGACAGTGTTGTTTAGGCAATGAGTTCTTTATGACCCATTTCATACTAGGAATAGCGTGGCTTTTTAAAGCCATTCTGTGTCATTTTATAGGAAGACATTAGTTTTTCTATTTCCTGGACACGAGGGAACTTGTCTAGCAAATCTTAAGAGCATCAGATACTTCAGAATGAGTTAAAAAGAAGGGTCTAAACCCGCTTTGATTCTTGTAGCATTGTTAAAATGTCCTTTCCTTTTGAGAAACACTGAACTGGATCTTTGGCTCGCTGTGCAAATCACCCCTCTTCCTAGTGGGTAAGTGCTTTGATGGTGTTGGAATATTTTGAAGCTTAATGTTTAAATACCGTTTCAGATATTTCTTTTTATTTTACATCGTCACATAGTTAATCTAGCCTTCTAATTAAACTCACCCTGATAAAAATGAATAGAATCAATAAATCAACAAAGTTGTTACTTTCATTGAAAGAACTAATTCACTGCATTTAATAATGGGAAACCTTGGTTGGGCTTACCATCAGCTTCGGTTACTGGGGTAGTAAAAAGTGGAGGCATAAGATTCTAGGTTTTAGAGGGATCCCTTACGTCTGGTTCTGTAAGACAGAGGTGGCCAACCTTTGAAGAAGAGCTCAAAGGTTGTCAGATGAAAACCCCAGGTGCTATCCTGGAAGTTTCTAACTGTTGACTCGGGGGTGCCCTTCCCCAGAAACAGTGGCATCGGTGGTGGGCAGCTGGGCCGCGGGCCGCTGCAGGTGGGAGTGGAGGAGCAGGCTCACAGAGGCCCACTGCTGCTCCTGCCGCCTCGGTGCCATGGTCTCTGCGCTCTGTCGTTTCGTGCGTGCGTGTGGCTCCTCAGGCTCAGATTACCTATGGACGGGGCAGGATCGTTTCTGAGGTTCCTTTAGACTCTGCTGTCCTGTGACTGGGATGTTCTGATTCCTGGATCAGGGTCTGGGCAAGGATTTGGATGGCAGCAGAGTGGTGCAGGTGATCCGGCACTTCATACCTGACCACCTTTTCATGTTTGGATGACTTAGTCATGAGTTCAGATGGATAACCAAAAGTAGTGTGTGTTCTCACAAAAATTTTTGGTACTCTTACAGAAAAACATTTTCAGTTTTATAATAGAGGCCATTGGAAAAAATCTTATTTCATAGAATTTGTACCCTTTTGACATCGCTGTCATTCTTTGAGCGCTTTGTTACCTTCTGGTTCAAGAAGATGTTCATCTTAGCTTGCAGTTTCTCTTTCCCAACCCTGATTTCAGCTGATTTCCCGAGGAGTCCTGACTCCTTGGAGGGGAGTGGGCTAGGCGAGCCTTTGCAAACTAGGGTGCTGTTACTCCTCCCTCTTTTGGAGGGCGGAGCTGGGGCAGAATGTAGGTTTTGTGGTGTGTACTACATCTGCTCCAGTTCTCACGCAGGACTCTTCTCTCCCCACACGTGAGGTTTGTGGGTCCCTCCTCCCTCACTGATGACTCCGAGCAGTAGCACTGTGTTGACTGGTTTGCTCAGTGCTGCAATACATACAAAATCGTTTCAGGCTTTTTCACCAACACTACTACCAACGACAAACCTGCTACGTGAAACTCTGAATTTCTCTGTATTTCTCTTTATCTGAGAATATGTCATACTGAAGATGTACATCCATGTACTCTCAGAGCGGTTACTCTCTGTTACAGCTTGTCTTAGTACCGTGTTTCTGCCTCCCTTCCACCTCCTGTTCAGAGTGGACACTCAGTAAACCTTTGCTCAGAGGTATTCTGTGCCCTTTGAGTTATTTCTGTTCACAGTACTTTCCTAGGTTAAGTTAATTACCATTTCTGTAGGAGTCAAGTACAATTAATCTATCAAAAGCACTAATATTCTGAGCAGTCATATATAAATAAGTAGAAAGATAATATGTAACATGATGTATGTAACTGTAACATTTAATTTTACGTAACACTAAATAATATGTAAATAACAGTTATATATTTATCAAACTATTATATAAACACATATATTAAACCCATGTTATCTATGTGTTCTATATAATCTTTAGTTATTTATTGCTTATATATCATTTTAAATTCACTCAACCCAACGTTTCTTAAATTCTGGTCTCAGTTGCAGCCAGTATTTCACGTAAGGATCATTATTAGGTCATCAGAAATTGTGGGTTTCATCTTTATATGCTTCCCAACTCTTAAGATGAAAAATAAAAACATTATTTATGATTTTTTTGGTGGTATCATTGTAGAGTCTAAGGTATGTACGTTCTGTCTAAGCATAGAAACAACCACAGACTGATGGGACAACCCCCGCAGGCGAGGTGTGGGGGCACTAGGCTGGGGAAAGGAAGGAGGTAGCTCGGTGGGAGGGTAGCTTTGGGTAGAGGAAGGAGGTAGACGTAAATGTGTATTTGAACTTAGGACAATGAAACTCAAGAAATAGAGGCTGGGGAAATTAAATTCTTTAGTACCCAATGTAGATATGTTATTTATTGTTTTTATTTAAACTGTTTAATAGAGGAGGGTGTAGCTCAGTGGTAGAGCATGTGCTTTGCATGCATGAGGTCCTGGGTTCAATCCCCAGTACCTCTGTTAAAAAAAAACACCTAAGTACCTCCACCCAATAAACAAACAAACAAACAAACAAATAAATGATTCTCCTTTAAAATAACTTTTTTTAATTTATAAAGTATGTTTTAATCACCCTAATTGACAGAAATATATAACTATACATGTTCCTTGGTATTATGTCTCAGTGATGGAGAAACTGTTAATGGTGGTGCAGCCAAATATAGTTCAGTCCGGTATTCCTCTATTGATTAGAATTATTACATTAATTATATGATTTTGTCTGTTAACATCTTAAAGAAAAACAACCATCGTATATTAAAGTAAATAGGAGCTTGAAACATTTCTGATTTAATTGAAATGATCATTGTATCTTTAAACTGGAAATATATTTGGGGACAAGCCCAAGAGTCTTTTAAAAGTTTTTAAAGGCATTTCAGAGTATTTTAAAAGTTACCTTTTAAATGCCTTTAAAACATTTAAGATATTTCAAAAAGAAACCAAGGTAAAATATTTTTGCTTTACTTCCATTAATTTATATAGATGCATATTAAATATGTGCATGTGTTTTACACCTTATCATAATTAAGCATATTATTCCCATCTTTTTATTATTTTTTTATGGGCCTATTTAAACTTAAACCTCTAAACAGGACCTTCTAGAATGTTTGATCATTCTAGCACCTTTTGTTTGTATAGATTTTCAGAGACATAATGAAGCTATAGTCAGAATAGCTCAAATATTCTTTATGATAAAAAAAAGCCAAAATCCTCTGAAAGTAACTTTTTGTGTTTTTATTACAGGTAAATTGGGATATTCACATTGTACAGAAGCAGAGGTAAGAGAAATGATCAAATATTTCCTAGTGAAGCAGCTTTGCAGTCCTTTTTGGACTGACTTGAAGTATTGAACTATCACATTGGGTCTTTGGTCTTCTGATGAGGATGTGTTGAGAGCAGGCATGTATCTTTTCCATTTAGGGAGAGTAAAATGTGAAGAAAAATCAGTTTTCTTGACCATATATTTAAAACATCAGCGTGTGTTATAAAGATCAGCTTAATCATAGTTTAAAATTTTCCTGTGTTATTATTTGTGAAACAGATTTAGCGAAGATTCAGAGCTCCTAATAAGAAATAGTTTGAGTTCAGTTTTTTTGTCATCCAGTCTACGTGTCAAAATAAATCATTCAAACGTGCTGGACTTGTGGAGCTGCCTTGATACAGGCAAAAACAGGGATTTGGAAAATGTTTCAGTAAACTCAGTAAAGACTTCGTCATGCTTTGTCATTTGTATAAGTAGGTTTATTATTTTTTAATAACAAATAATTTAATTCCGAACCCTGATTGTGACATTTAAGGAATTTGCACGTGACTCCATGTGTCCCCTGAGGACATTTCGAGGGCGACACTGAAACGCGAGGGCATCATGAGTTAAGTATGTGTGGTGCTCTTTTCCGGAGCTTTTGCATCATCGTTACATTAGGAGTCTTAGGTCTTCTGTTAATGACAGTGCCTGATTAAGGATTTAGGAAGTTATTTTTCTTTTTTTTATAGTATATCTACATGTTGATGTAGGTTTTATTAAATTTTAATTGTTATTTTAAGTAAAATGCAAGCTTCCTAATGGATTGTATTGTATAATAAAGAAGCAAAAGTAATTTATTATTTTTTTGCATTTGGAAGTTTTTCATTGTGTTTTTGTATTTTCTATTCAACTTTGGAAGTAGAGATAATTTTTTCCAAATTAGCTGTAAAAATGGGCAAGAATTTAATATTTTGTATTTTCTATTCAACTTTGGAAGTGGAGATAATTTTTTCCAAATTAGCTATTAAAGTGGGCAAGAATTTAATATTTTTATGTTGAGAGAATTTTTAATATATTGTTCAATATGATATAAATGAGTGGGATTTGATTTGAATAATAGATACAAGTTCTTTCTGTGGTTTCTTGTGTGTGTCTCTCTAGCTATGTAATTTTTTTTTCTGAGGTTTTATTATCAATAGGTGCTGAGTTTTTTCCAAATGCTTTTTCTGCACAGATTGATAGGCGCATGCAATTTTTCTTCTTTTGCTTGTTTATTAGATAGATTACATTGGTGATTTTCAGATATTGAACCAGTCTTGCATCCTGGGCATAAACCCTACTTGGTCATTTTGCATAATTCTTCTTATATATTATTAAATTCTGTTTGCTAATATTTGCTTGAGAAGCTTTGAGTCCATATTCATGAGGCATAATAGCCTGTAATTTGCATACTTCACGTGCGCTCTCTTTCTCTTAATGGTACTGTTTTTATCTGATTTCAGTTTTAGGGTATCTAGCTATGTAACTTTGAGCAAGTAATATTTTCTTTCAGAACTTTGGCTTTCTTATTTATAAAATGTTAATGGTAATCTCTATTAACCTTATGGGTCATGAAATTTTAAAGAGATAATATAGGTGAAAATGTTTCATAAACCCTAAAGATGCTATTATCTATATCAAAATGATACAAATATAATCAGCATTCATCTGCAGTTAGGTAATGAAATGTGAGGACTTTACATACAAGGCATAGATGTAAGTCTCATTATTACTATTTTTTTTTTATTCTTACTATATTGTGTTGCCATAAAATCAGTATGGTTTTAACATTTTGTTTAGGACTTGCTTTGTGTAGGAATGTCACTTCATTTTATCTCCGACGTGATAGCTCTTATCCTTTGATCCATAACTCAGGTCACGAAAAGAATTGGAACCTAAACAGAATTGCCCTTCAGAATTTTTTTTGTATAACTATTTGTAAAGGAAAAAAATCACAAGAAATAAAAAGTTCAATCTGATACTTAGTTGACAAAATGGTTTGGGGTATTTTGGGGGGTAACAGTGGTTGTGAACTCTGGGAAGGAGACTGGGATTGTGGATGGTGATTTATCTACGTCGTTTGGAGTTTTTTGAAATGAGAATGTCTCTTTGGTGATTAAAATATTAATGAGAGTGTATTACTTCGGTGATTAAAATAATAAAAAAGGGGGGCAATAGAGGTAGTGGGAATGTTTTCAAGAAGTTTGACTTGCGAGGAGGAAACAGCTTAAGTAGGAAGTTTTGTTTCGTTGTTAGGTTGAGGAAGATGGTGCATTTGGTGCTGATGGAGGTAGTAAGGGAGGAGAGAGAGGGAGACCCGAGTCCACGTGAGGGAGTGGGTATCCGCCGGAACCAGACTCGTCTGGCGTCTAGAGATGGCTTGACTATAGAACAGTGGTTCTCTGAGTGTGAGGCGAAGGCTCTGGGGGTTCGTGGCACCCTTTCACAGTCAGGCTGTTTTCAGAGTAGTACTTAGGCACTGTTTGCCCTTTTGTCTCATTCTCTCGTGAGTGGACAGTGTAGTGAGTGTACGGGGGCCCTTCGGAGGCAGCGTGACTGCACAGCAGGACGGTCATACCAGACTGACTGCAGAAGCTGAGGGCAGATGCAGCCGGCTTTCATTAAGCATGACCTTCAAGAGTTTTGCAGAAATGTAAAACAATACCACCCCTCTCACTTTTTTTTTTTGAAAATTTTGGGAGTTTCTTTTTATAAAAATGTTACTAAGACGTATTAACATGTTTAATATTATAGCCAAACAGTTTAATTTGAATGACTGAATCAAATTTTCTCAGTTTTATCTTGTAATACAGTAAATGTTTGAAGGATTATAGCTCATGTAAACAAAAACTCCTTGGATGCCCTAATAATTTTTGAGTGTTAAAGGATCCTAAAACTAACCGGTTTGAGAACTGTTGGGCTGGGGCCCGCAGGGCAGAGGTACTTCTTCCTGAGAAACAACATTAAGGGTAGAGAGAGGTGAAACCAGAGCCCTGAGGTAGACAGCGGAAGTTGAGGAAATCCTTGATACACAATCAGATCTAAGCCAGTCTGTTTTGTCTGTGAGAAGGCAGGGTCATTTTTGAGTGTGAGGTATGCTGGATTGGAAGGTGGTTGCTTTTCACCCTCTGTTGTTATTCTGTTGAGAAAAGAGAGTCCCAGTTCCTTTTGTAAGTTAACAGCCCCATCAAGCTCTCACTGAAATTGGGTCCAGTCCAAGACAGGGCTGCTGGCCAGTTGTGCAGACGCATAGGAGTAGGAAAGACGCTGGCTGGGGTCAGGTATCTCATTGGGTACCACGTCGTGACGCCGGAGTGCCCCAGCCCTTCTCGGTTGGATGGGCTGTTGTGGGGAGAGGCAGGTAGGGGCATTTGTGCCCGAGCTCAGTCCACGCTCCCCCCTTTTCTTCTCACCTCTCGCCTCATCTGAAAGGTGGGTTGTTGGGCAAGTAGGGCGCTTAGCACAAAGCCTGGCCTGATGAGCACAGCACGTTCTCAGTCTTATTTCCTTGAGGCTCATAGCCCCACCAGGAGCCCGGGAGACATTGTCGCTTTATCTTCCTGACACAGTGCTTGACCGTCTTTAAGTTTTCCTAGTACATAAAAATCATGAATTATTTTCTAGTTTTACGTAAGTATTCTTTTTAATGCTTTCCCTATATTCATAAAAACCAACCAAAATTATAACTTTGGAGAAAGCAAGGAGGTCATACATGGGCATTTGGTTAACTTTTATGAGATCTTGTATCTCAAGAATAGCTCAGTGTTGCTTAAAATTAGGTGTTTTACTTTATTCCTCACTCTTTGGAAAAATTTTCCTTATACTGAATTATACTAGTATTTTCCAGCATTTGAACTCATGAAGGGAAATCTTTCATACAATTTGTTTTGAAAGACATGAAAAATTTTGACTTTAGTTAGTAATTTACTTTTTCTTACAACTCTTTGTTTTTTGAAGATATAATTTACATACAGTAAATGTTAACCTTTTTAGTTATAGTTCCAAGTGCTGGCAAACAACATCCCCACAATCAAGTTCCAGCGCTCCCAGGATGCCCCCATCCCCCTTGTAGTCATTCCCTCCGCAGCCCCCAGCCCCAGCCCCCACTGATGTGTGTTCTGTTTCTTTGGCTTTGAGGAGGACCTACAATGTACATGGTTGGTGATCCTCCCGCGACCTCCCCTCTAGGAGTGGCTCACAGCTCGGACTGGCAGTTCATAAACTCTCGAGCGCCCGACCCGTGCTTGTTGGGATTTGCCTGTGAGAGGAGCAGTCCCGATCCACAGTTTAGGAGAACTTTCACTCCCAGTTTACCTGCTGCCATTATTTAAACAGTTTTGTGGGTTATAGTCATATTTGAGGAAAATGGCTAAGCACTTAAAAATACAAAAACAGTAAAAGATTTGAGTTTCCAAGTATCTTAATTGAAACTTTTTCATTGTTTTTAGCTTTCCAGATTTCGTCACATTCTATCTTCTATTAACCACTGTTAATTGTGTAGCGCTCAGAGGCCCTTTTCCTTTAGCAGGAAGAAAGGTTAAATGAGTAACCAGAACAGTCCTGTTTTGTTGGATTAGCTGAATTTTAATCGGAATTGGTTAAAGCATTATAGAAAGTTAAATAATTTTTGTCAATACTTCAATATTAATAGAGCTGGTTTGTAAAAATCATAGCAAAAATCGTAGCAAAAATTTAAGCTTTACTGAGGGAAACTATTGGAAAGATTCACGTACACATCTTAGAAGTAAAATTCATGTGTACCGTGTGTAAGTAATCACACTGTTTAATTCCCACCTGCATCTTTTAAAAATACAGCTTACTGTAAGCTGAGTACGTTATAGACATAAGCTAATTTAACTCTCACAACTGATTTATGAAGTGGATGCTGTTGTTTGCGTTTTATAAGTGAGAGCTGAAGTGTGGAGAGGTTCAGTAGCTTGCCCAGGGCCATGTAGCCAGTTTGTTGCAGAACCATGTCTCCCAGCTTTCTTAACT